ACATCATATATCTATTTATTTTAATCTATTGATGATTTTAACTTATTGATTAATTATTTATATTATTTTAACTATGTAAGAAACAATAAAATAGACAAGAACAATAATAGAAGATAATTATTATTAAATAAAACGCACTACTGAGAATAGAAATAAATCATGAATTACTGATGTTTTCACAAAGAATATAAACAAAATTATTTATATATACATATTATATACGTATTCATTCTCTTTAAATATTCGGAATGCAAAGAAATTAATATCAAAAAAAAAACGAAAACAAAACAAAACAAAACGTTTGAGCTCTCATTATCACAAAGAAAAGAAAAACAGTGAATCATTAGCACCTATATGCGTCAAAGAAAAAAGCAAAACAGTTCTCTTCTCTGATTTCTGGTCGTTGCAAAACATAAGATCTGACCAAATTGGTGAAGTTGATTTTTTTGAGAGAAAAAAAAAGACCTAAATTAAAATTCTGTTATTGTTTGAGTTATTTGTGAACATATTCGTTGTAAATCTTGAGATTTAGTAATAAGTGTTTGATTAAAATCATTTGTTTTAGATTCAAATAAATCACGAAGACGAACTAATTGTTGTATATTTCTATTTGATGTACGTGGTAATGTTCCAGTACCAGGTACATATGTACCTTGTGGTGAACGTCTTTGAATTTTTGCTATTTCATTACGCAATCCTTGATTATCTTTTTCAGTTGACTGAAATATATAAAGAAATAAAAGTAAAAAGAAAAGAAAAAGATAATATTGATTGTTTATAACATACAGTTAAACGATCTTCTAAAGTATTTATTTGAGTAATATAATGTTGAATTTGATTTTCAAGTTGAAAGATTTTCTAAATATTCGATCAATTATTACAGAGAAAGTAAAATGAATGAAGAAAATTAAATACTTGTTCTTGTTCTTGATTACGTTGATCAGCATTATCGAGTAGATTTTTTAATTCTTGTGTTTCACTAATTTGTCCATCACTTGATGGATGACGAGTTGAAACCTTGATTTATTAAAATATTAAAAAATTAGTAAGCTTTAAGTAAAAATAGGTTAACATAGCATTCTATACAAATTTTTATGCAAAACAAATCTCTACAATTCATTGAAATGTACGATTCTCGGTGGATAACATAGAGATTTGCACAGTTATCCCCTACCTTAAGTTGCCTTGCATGGTAAGGATAGAGTAAGAATTAGAAAATTTTCCTGACGAGAGAACCTACTCCAAATGGCACCTGCTGTTTGAGCTCATATTGAACTCACAGACATGTCTTAGTGAGAATAGTAAAAGATTAAATGAGTTTACTCCCATTGACCTTTTGATGCCGAGTTATGACCGATTTGTGAGATTTCTTTTACTTATTTTTAGATACTCATCAGAAGATTGATTAATAGAATTTTTTGATCCAAAATTTTGCCCAAAGATAGATCTAATGACTCTTAAAATATCTTGAAAATTTCACTCGAAAAGAATGTTCCTTCGTTGAGTCATTGAATCTTTAAATAAATCCAATTTTTATGACATATCGATGACAAAGGACTATTTTTAGAAATTCAATATCTTAATGAAAGAACTTTTTTTTTTCGGCTGAAACTTTCAAGATATTCTTAGGGACATTAGACTTATGTATAGGAGAAATTTAACATCGAAAATCTAGCATGTGATTTTGTGAGCACTACCTACAAATGAATCGAAAATTCACCAAACCAATCATAAATTACTCTGCATGTCTCTAACGATTTTTAATTATATAAAATATTTTATTTGAATACGCATAAAAATTGCAGACACCCATAGTTATTCTGATATTAATTTTTAAAATATGTTGTATAAATAAAAATCAAAGTAACTATGAATGTCTGTGTCCACAGTTTTTAGAGATGTCCAGTTGATGTAAAATTCCTACATGAGTCCGATACTTTACACTCGAAATATTTCATTACATTGATAGTTTTGCCAATGTTGCATTAATTCTCGTCTGCAGAGACACAAATAAATGATTCTCAATTAGAGGTATACACGAATAAATTTTTTCTGATTCTTATCTTGAGAAAAATTATTTGATTGAAATATTCTAATGAAAGATTTTTGTTTAAAATTAGGTTGTTTAATGTTTGAAAAAAAAGTTCATATATCATTCGACAATGTCTTTTTTTTTTTTTTTATTAAACTTTAAATAATAATTCTTTATATTACCATTTGTCGAAGACGAGTACATTCATCTCGATAAAATTGTAATTGTCGTTTCCATTCTTCAACATTTGCATGACTTTCTTGTAATGCTGTAGTTAATTTTGCATTATTATTACGTAATATTTCTAATTCTTCTTGCCATTTTTTAGCATTATTTGAACTAAAACAATATTTTATCTTTGAACTATATATATATATATAATATAAGAAATATTTACCTTTGAGCAAGTGCAATTTTAAGATGAGCATTTTCTTGTTTAAGTTGATTTTGTACTGATGGATCTAATCCAACAGATTGAATTGACCAATCTGTTTCAGACTTAAGAAAAAAACAAACAAACCAATGTGATCAAATTTTATTTTGATAGATTAAAAAGAAAAATGAAACTAAATCATACTCGAGGTGTTTGTCGAGCATCGACACTACTACTTCGATGTTCACTTTGTTTAAGTGCTTGACGTGTAGCATCTTTAACTTCAATAAATTTATCCATAAACTTAAATAATTAACAAAAAAAAACAAACAAACAAATAAAATCGAATAAATTCCTATAAATAATTTACTCGTGTTAAATCAGTTTCATTAACAAAACCTAAACCATAAACATGATTTGCTCGTGAATCAACCCATTGACAAAATTTTTGTGATGTTTTTGTAAAACTCATTCGAGCTGTAACTATTGTATTAATAAGTACTTTTGATCCATCAATAGATAAAATACGATAAACATTTTTTACTGAATCATGAAATATTTGTACATTTACTAGAAATAAATTCGATATATATATATATAATTTTTTTTCTTCTTCTTCTTCTTCTGTACATACCAGCACCATTTGATAATGGTAACCAAGTTTTTCGTGTATCAGGATCAACTTGAAATATATGTGCTTTACATGAATACAATGGTGATTGTTCACTAAACAATAAATAAATAAATAAATCAATATTTTAATTTAATTGAAATTTAATTTACCCCATATTTGTATCAAGATGCATGTTTTGTTTTAAGAATAAAACAAACAAAAAAGGTTAATGCAATGAAGAAAAAGGAAACTTTCGAAGTAGGTATATATATATATATATAAGGTATAGGTTAGCCTCTTCTTTTAATAATGTATTCGATACAAAAATAAACAATGCTTCAGGCAACTAAGAACAGAAAGAAAAAGAGAGACAGAGAGAGAGAGAGAGAAATTCGATCTCAAGTAAACTGAACTATACAATCATTCCATAGTTTATTTTCGATATACATTTCGTTATGGAAGAATACTGAACGCGAAATGAACTTTGAAACTAACGACATCTATTGTTTATTTTATATATGAAAATGAATTATTTTTCTCAATAATGAGTATCAATGTAACAAGAATAATAAATAAAGATTTTGTTTAAAGTTATTACATTGTAGTTAGAATTAAAAACGAACTGAACTTGATTCGATATTAAATAAATAAAAGAGTATAAGCATCATTTTGAGTTACTTGAAACAAAAGTTTAGCGCATCTCTTCGCACCTAACAATCCTGATGGAGAATCCTTTCAGATAAATAAATGTTTTCTCAGATTCTTGTTAGTTATTAGTATCGAGAAGAAAATTTAAAGATACAACTACTTTAAACTTTTGCCTGCCACTATATAAATGAAAAAGTCGAATATAAAATGTTCGTCATTTTCAGTTTTGATCAAGGCTCTACTTCAGATATATCAATCGTATTCTTTATCTAGCAGAACCATTAAAACATACTGAATCCTATTTTCATCGACATAAATAATTTCTCTTATGCATGGATAGTGGAAATTTGTTATCCTAAGCAAACTTTTTACATATGATCTTGATAAAGAACTGAACGAAGATCACGTAATAAAACATTAAAGATTATTTAGTTCTATGATGGAAGATAGAGATTTTTGACTTCTTTTTTTCTCGGTATAATATTCAAGAGCTACGATGTCTGGAATATGTCTTGAGAATGTCACATGAAAGACTTCCTTACCAAATATTGAAAGCCATAACTGTAAAAAAAAGGCCAGTTGAATGTTCACGAACCAGTAAGTGCAATGTACGACGAAAGATCAAAACATAGAGAAACCACTGCTGAACGGGTTTAAACTCTGACTCGAAAGAACTAGTGGAAAGAAAATGTATGAATATTCAAAAATTGATACAGCGGTTCGTATTGATGACATTTATTGATTATAATCTAAAATATTAGCACTGATACTATACTCAAAAGAAAGTACTTTTTATCTGATCATATGGGTATTAGTATGAAATCATATTTGAAACATGAAGATTGTTATTCATAGTTTTCTATAGAATTTTGGACAATTACACAAATTTCCTTGTAATCACCGAAATTTCTGAGAAATAGTTTTTCGAGATAGAATTCTCTATGTTGATGGATTTATTTCTTAATCTATTTGCATAAAAGATAAAGAAAATACGGAAATTATTTTTCATGTTTTAATATACTATGAAATTGCATGCATGAATTCATTCTGACTCGATGGCAATTACTATTACTTCCCTGTGATATACGTTGCTTGTTCTTTGGCTTTGCTTAAAGAAAAGTAAATTTCTTACGCCCTCTATATAATTGGTTCTTACCTCATTCGTCATATTATTTTCCTCCAATCCAAAAAATAAAAAGAAATTTGTCAATTTTTTTTCTCTCTATCTAAAAATTTGTACATTGTTCTTCTAGAAAAATCTGTAATCTTATTTGATTTTAGAATATATATATTTAATATAAAGAGAGTATTGTTAAATATTTATCTTTTAGATAATGTCTGCTGTACCAGTTGCTGAAAGAAATCAAGATGCAACAATATATGTTGGTGGTCTTGATGAACGTGTTAATGAATCTATTCTATGGGAATTATTTGTTCAAGCTGGTCCTGTTGGTAAGTTTAAATAAATTTATATAAATTATAAGTTTTTGATTTGCATATATATATATATTTAATAGTAAATGTTCATCAACCAAAAGATCGTGTAACAATAAATCATCAAGGTTATGGTTTTGTTGAATTTTTAACTGAAGAAGATGCAGATTATGCTATTAAAATAATGAATATGATTAAACTCTATGGTAAACCAATACGTGTTAATAAAGTAAATAAATAAACGAATAATTTTTTCTTTTTTTTGAAAATTTTATCTATTAAATTTTGCTTTTATTTTTACTAGGCATCAGCACATCAAAAAAATCTTGATGTTGGTGCAAATTTATTTATTGGTAATCTTGATCCAGAAGTTGATGAAAAATTATTATATGATACATTTTCTGCATTTGGTGTTATTTTACAAACACCAAAAGTAAATTTATATTGACAAAAGAAAAAAAAATCATATAAAGAAACATAAAAAACGAGCTTTTTGTTTTGTTTTTCAGATTATGCGTGATCCTGATTCAGGCAATTCAAAAGGATATGCTTTTATTAATTTTGCTAATTTTGATGGGTCAGATACAGCATTAGAAGCAATGAATGGTCAATATTTATGTAATCGACCTATAACAGTTTCATATGCATTTAAAAAAGAATCTAAAGGTGAACGACATGGTTCAGCTGCTGAACGTTTACTTGCTGCTCAAAATCCATTATCACATTCAGATAAACCACATACATTGTTCGTATTTTGAAATTAATTATATTTATTTATTTAATAAAATTTTTGTTTTCTATTTTAGATTTGCTGATCAACCACAATTTGCACCAGCACCACCAGTACCTCCACCAGTTAATCCATTTCCAATCACATCATGGTTACCATATGGTACGCTAGGTGGTCTACCTATTCCACCTGGTTTACCTGGTCTTCCACCTCCACCACCACCATTTGCAATGGTATGTTGATTCAATAATGAAGATACTACATTTATAAGGATAAGATAGTTCATATCAGAGATCTAAACAAGCTGATTTTTTGTAAGCTTGAAGTGTCTAGTATTTGATTTTCATATCGATATCATTGTTGTTCAAGAACATTTTTGAATGAGTTTTAAAGACAAAAAATGTCCCTCATAGTATCAAATCAAGAGAGAAGAAGGACGTTCTGTAACTGCTAAATCCGTAGTAAAATATATTTCAATTGAATTAATGGAAAAAAGACAACGAACAAGTAATAATAAACATAGAAGTTTTACTGATAATGCATTTGATTGTTTGTAAGCATATTTATATAATTTATTATTTTTAAAAATACCACTACATCTATTTGCTAGCAATATATTCAAATTTTGATATAAAAATAAACATACAGGCACTTAGTGACTTGTTTAAAAATCTGGTTCATACATAATAATGTTAGATTCTTTTTTCAGAAAAGAAAATGCTCATTTGCAATCTGAATATTTGTTTTTTTTTTATTGTAGCAAATGCCACGTCCACCATTAGCTCCAACACCTACATCAGCAGGTTCATTTGTAAGTTTTTTTTTATTTAATTAAATAAATTCTAATTGATTTTTCTATTTTAGCGACCACCTCCACCTCCACCACCAAATCGACCACCACCACCTCCACCACCAATGATGCAATAAAACATTTTGTTTTTTGTTTTTCATTCATGATGTATTGAAATAAATGTTCTTTTTGTTTGTTTATCTTAAATAAAAAAATAACGAATGGCCTATGTTTATTTCTCAGAAGAAAAAAAGAAAACAAGATGTTAGCGCAATCCCTGCAAAATTAAAATGTAAAATACAATGCAGCTGCTCTTGCTAATCATAGGAGTGACTATTTTATTCTATCTATTTTGATACACATTTCTTCACCGTCCTTTTATGTAATCCTAAAGAAATGTAATTTGTATAGGTGATACCATTGCTTTTCCTAATATCTTATATCGAAAGACTGATACACAATGCTAGAAATTTGTTTTAGTCTCTCTGTATGGCTATACTTTTGTTATATATATATATATCTGTCTTTATTGTAGAAGGTAAAGACCAAGACCATTATTCTTTTCTGATTAGCTTCTCATTTATAAGTTAAATGTCTGAAAAAAAGTAACATTTCTTATTATTTCATAAAAAAGAAATTCTATTACAAGAAAAATATAATACATATGAAATTACAATTTTTGTTATGACAAACGAAACAATTATATTAGATGAAACTAATGATGCAACATCAGTGCTACTATCTTGAGAGTATCGATGTATATGTTAATCTTTTCTATACTCGCATCCCAGTAGGTGAAGAGAGCTTTATCTTTAGTTTATATTAAACGTGATTTTGATATCGATTTAGATACTATTGTAATTGAATTTGTATCCAAATTCAAAATATTTTGAAAACACATAAACTGATCAATGTAAGACTTGAACTGAAATTTCTATTCTAAATACTTCAACACTTCTTTTAGATCGTATTTCACAAAAATTTTCTATTGAAGATAATGATTTCTAATCGATTTCGTTTATTATCATTAATAAATAAAACATTATCTTATTCAAAACGATGGACAATAACAGCAACAGTAAATAATACATCTGAAATTCGTATAAATAAAAAACCAATAAAAAAATCTATGTATTCATATAAACGTTTACAAACAACATATTATCATTGGATGGAAGCTGTTAATCGTGTTGATGTTCGACAATCAGAATTTCATCGTCCATTAATTATACGTTCAACAGTAAGACAAATTCTTCGTTTTATGCATGATGGTTATATTAATATTGAACAATGGGGAACATTTCGTGATTATCTTGTTAAAAAAGATATTGGTGTATCACGTTTATTTGATGGAATTTTTTTACATGAATGTATTAATTATCAACGTTTTCTTATGGGTTTATCTTATATAAATTATTTAAAATATGAAAATATTCCATTAACACCAACAAGTTTAGCTATGTTATTATTATTAGCACGTGAAATTGATATACGATATGAATTATATGAATATTGTTTAGATGAAAAAATTTTATTAGATACTTATCAAGAATTTCTTTCATATAAAATTCTTCCAGATTCAATGCTTGCTTTACCAATTATAGCTGGTTTAACATTAACAAAACAATGGAAAGAATCATTAAAATATTTACCTATACTTGATAATGATCTTGATGGTATGCAACAAGCATTAGGTTTTGTTTTAACAGCAGCTGCTAAATTTCATGATTATATATTTTTCTTTTCATTACTTGATAATATATCACAAACAGAATTAATTCGTTTATATGAACAACGTCAACGTATACGATCGAATGATACAAATACAATATTTAATATTAAACAAAAACTTACACTTGATCAACAAGTTAAACGACCAATAGCACCATCAAGAATAAAAGAAAGTGATTATTATTTAATAGCTAAAACATCACAAGCTTATGAAACATTTACAAATTATTTAACTGGAGAGAAAACTAAACAAATTGAAACTTTAATTAAATTACTTGAAAAAACTGCAAGTAATGGTTATATACCACCGATATCTTTTGTAAAATCATTAGAAAAAAAATTAAAAGAGTATGTATTCATTTAGTACACATAGAAAAATATGTAATTAATCGATAATTATGTGATTATTAATAGCTCATTAGACTCATACTTAAACATGATATATCTGTAATTACGTATCTTCTTGATTTCGGACATTTTTTCTTAATTAGTCATTCTTGAGATTCATAATCAAGACCGATCTTATCAGTTATATCGAATATATTGATCTATTGATAATAACAAGACTACTCATATTAAGATTCTTCTTTTTACTCATACATTTACCTAAATTATATGTAAGAATCTATATATCAGTTCCATCGTTTACTGGAAAACGCCGAAAATCGATGGAGCATGGAAGCAGTATTCCGAAATAAAAAGTCTCCGAATTTTTTCGGATAATTTGCAGCTGTTTCTCGCCAGGATCGAGTCGCACTTCTTGACCTAGATATATCTATTTTCGTATGTTTCTATAAGGTGAACATTTTTTCTTCTCTCCAATTACAAAAAAAAAAACAAATCATTAGATGATCTATATTTTTGTTTTTTGATATAGACTTGATCCAACTAAATATAAATGTGATTATATTTATTTTTATCCAAAGTATGTAGTAATGTTTATTTTTTAATATTATTATATTTAATAAACTTTTCTATTTCTAGTGGTATATCTCTCGATGGTAAAACAACATTATCATCGATTGAACCAACTGAAGATGAATGTCAAATTTTGCATACATATATTCGAAATAATTTTCAATCATTACTTGAACTTCATTGTTCTAAAGTATTATTCTAAGAACTTTTCTATTATTCAATAGAATTAGTAATTGATTTATATTTTACAGCTTGCAGAAGATCCATCGAAATTACTAAAATATCTTTCTGAGCCATTCGATGTTCTTTTCGATTGTCTTCATTATCCAACACTTGAACTTGACTGGCGTATACGTCATCCATTGTATGTATGTAGGAATATTCTTTGATATTATTTTGTTTTTTTTTTTCTAAATAAAAAGAAAACAAGAAGAAATGTTAATTTAGATCAAACGTGTTCTTTATCAAATAGCTGATGAAAAAGGTAAACGATGTTTAGTCATCGCTAAAATTGATCTTGCTGATTATATTGATTCACTTCAAATGCCTACTGATCTTGTATCAGTTGTTCGTGTACCTTATGAGTAAGAATTTTTTCTTGTTCTCATCTATATTTTATTTAGTTGACTTTTGTTTTTTTTTTTTGTCTTTTCCGAAAAGATCTATTAAAAGTCCATTATCATTATTATCAACATTATTTCATAGTCCAACAACATTACTTGCTAGTCCAATTGATCAACGTTTTTATAAAAGTTTATTAGGTTTAAATAATATTGATATATTTGATCGATGGATACAAACACATCAATTAGTTCCAATTACTAAACCAGATTTAGTCTATCTTCAAGTAAGAATAAGAAATGAAAATAATTGAACATTATGAATTGATGGTTAATGATAGAAATAATCGAAATATTATTTCAATTGCGTTTGTTTTATCTTAGTTTTTTTAATGTTTAATCAAATGACTGAGATAGGAATTTTTTTTATTCTGCGTTAAACTTATTTGAAATTCTATATTTTGATTTTGGTGTTAATTTAATTAGAATTATCAAGAAAAATCGATTTCAATATCAAAGTCGATATAGAGTAGCTACGAAAAACAGCTTCAATAGTTTCTGTAAAATTTGTATAACTCAGTCAAAAAAGAATCATACAGAACTCGACAGAATCTTGTTTTGCAGAGTTTGGTTTACTCTATCGTTTCATGTTGTCGTTACCGAAAAATACTGAAGGGTTGATTTTCTGAAAATTTCGTCTTTGGAAATCTGACTACCATTTTTATTTTCTTATATTCTTGTTATATACTAATATTAGATTACCAGTTCCAAACATACTTTTTAGCAAAAGAAATTAAAATCGTTATTTCTAATCAGAGTCGAATCATTGGTCCCATGTATTTCTTGAAACTGCTGTCCGGAATTGTCGATAGTGTTTAGGGGTGAAAGAGACGAAAAAATCCATAGCAAGTACTTTCAACCTCACAGTGCTAGAAGTGGTAACCGAAGGAGGAAGCTCACCATGACCCGGTCACTCCCACAATACACGACCTGCCATTAGGCCGTCCCTCTCCGGGGCTCACCCCAAATTCGGTTTCTGTGCAAAGTTACTATGAAGCTGTAAAAAATTGTCAGAAAGTCGAGCATTTTGTGAAGGGGAGAAGCTCCTCTAATTGAAAATCCTACCGATCTCTATTGGAATGGAAGCAATATTCTGATCAACATTCATTCTCATTGAATTCAAATTGATGAATTCAACGACAATTGATATGTAGTAAGAATTCTAGTTCAATCTTGAAATCACACATAGATAAGTTATTCTTGCATTCAATTATCAAAACGCAAAAATAAAAAAGCTAATTTTGATATTTATCTATTTTTCTAGGCTCCATGTTTATATTCAACACGTGTTCATGTTAATACATCTGAATGGTTAATACCTTATTTTGATGGATCACCATTAACTGATGCTGAAAATGTTCAAACATGGTTTCGTGTTCAAATAAATAATTATTAAAAGATCTTTAAGATCTTATTATTTTCTTTTCTTTTTGGTTTTTTCGAAATTGTCGTTTTTTTTTAATTTGTTTCAGATGTTCTTACGTAATCATTCACGTTTATTATTAACTTTATGTCGACCAACTATATTAATATATCATAATAAATCATTGAAAAATCTTCAAATTCGTCATATAAATATTGATGCACCAATGAAACGAAAAATTCTATTAAAAATAAATACAGTTCTTAATGAAGGTCAACATTTCGATGAAAATTCTAATGAATCTGATATAACTAATATAGCTTGTTTAAATAATGAACTTATTCTATCAGAACGTATGGTTAAATTTCCATTTCATTATCGATGTATACTTGAACAACAATTAGCTATATGTCAAGATCGTTGGGTATCAAATAATGAATGGCAAGAATTATATAATGTTGTTGGTGAAACAACAAAACCATTATTTGCTTCAATAACAATGCTTATTTGTGTACAATTAAAACATATTGAACGTGGTCGATCATTATTTGAATTTATTCAAAAATATTATCCAGATTTATTAACATCAACATTAACAACATATGCAGCTTATATGAATTTATTATCTCTTGATTTTTTTACTTTAATTGGAAAAAAACATGGTCAAGATTATTCACCATATGAAAAAGAATTATGTGATATTTATCAAAAATTTGTTAAAGATAAAAAACAGGTGAAGAGCCTTTTTCTTTTCATTTTAAATTAATCAAACAAATGAGTTTAAGTTTATTGATATACAAAAGAGGCTTTGTCTGTATTCTCATTTGAATTCATAGTTTATTCTTTTTCTGAATCATTTAAGTTAAAAAGCAACTGAACACTTTCCTTAGAAACTTTCGATTAACTAAGATGTCCTAAGGTATCTTATATTATGCATCCAATTTTTATGATGTAAATTGAAACCATCATATCAAATGCCATATGTATTCTTCGATAGAAGAAGTTCGGCTTCTATTTGATGAATAGGAATGTACCGTGCGAATTTAAAAATTTGTCTTTCTTTTTGTTAATTATTAGGTGTCACTTCCCACAAAAATCATCCAGCCCTCCTCTAAGTTTTTACTACTCTGAGACGACACTGCTGGTAAGCTTTACAAATTCAGCACGGGATTATTAGAATCTATTACAGACAAAATTTATTCATTGTTTGAATAATCTCGTCTAATAAACATAAATAAGTCACAAGTAGAGATGTGCGGGGTCAGTTTTAGTCCCTGAGTCAGGACTAGGACTACGAGAAAAAAATCAACCTAACTGAAAATAAAGATTACAGCTACAATAGTGAATAAAATTCTTCATCCCAGCGGATCTCGACCGCTATATATGCTAGAGGTCTGAAAATTTGTGTACACGCACTTCGTCAAGAATGTAGGTCATTTGCATTACAGTGTTAGTATCGCCCAACTACAAAGGGAGTTATGATGGATGGCACCTATCTTTGTTGTCAGCCCTATAACTCTGAAATGGAAGAGTATTCTGTGTCAGCCGACTTCTTAACATATAATGCTATGCCCCAGCTATCTCCATTACTAAGTTCATTGAAGTTCATAAATCCTCTCAAAGACTATGCTCATTTTACTGTGATCGTTGCTGTCGAGAGAAGCTTTCGATTGCCTATTGAAAGTCAATAACTTTTTTAGAAGCTTCTTGTATAGTTAGACATTATTACTTACAAATTTTAAAAGCGAATCTTGCACTAAAGAGAAATGAAATGTAGATGATAATCTTATTAGTTTTACAGATTCAGAAACATCAGTATTTGACATATTTTTAGTAAGAAACAACGCAAAATTTCATAGGTAGTCTTTTTTTTAATAGATTCTAATGCTCAGATCAAAAACAGGTGCCGTCCATCATAACTCTCATCATAATTAAGTTCTATGGCTTTAAGCGAGTTATCTTATAAATCACAACATAATTCACAAGAGATGAATCAAGGCCGGGGATCCGACAAACCAAAATCACTAGGACCAGGACTATATTAGGTTTACCGAAGCTATAACCAAAATCATTAGAAAAGAAGTTATTGAGGCCACAATTTATTGACTTTGATAGTTATACATGTTCTTTGTTTCTTTTTGTTCAGTCCATCATAGCATCCGCGGCTGCATTAGGAATAATCAAAGGTTTATGTGTAACTCGACTATGGCATGAAGCTTATTCTTATTTACCATTTGTTAATGATGATGATCAATTACAAGCAATGACAGAGTAAGGGTGTTTGAAAATAATTTGTTTTTTTTTTCTTCTTTTTGAAGTATGAAAATGTTGACAAAAAATAGATTTATATATTTATAGTGTTATACTTGCTGCTTTACATAATGATGATGTTAGTACAGCAATAAAATTAGTTAAAAATCTTAAAAATTCACCACCAAGTGATAGTGTTGCTGCAACAATGTCAAGTTCATTAAATGATATGATACGAGATATGTTTAGAAATATAAATGAAAATAATGACAATGCTTATGAATTTATTCAATATTTATTTAATTATTTATCTACATTAGATTATTTTATTGAAAAATCAGCTGTAGATGAAATGAAAATATTTTTTACTAAGTAGATTTTTTTGCATGATTAAATATTAAATTTTTGTTTTTATTTTTAATTGAAAAGTTATTTTTATATAGATATAAACCAAATACATTCAATTATGGTACAACAACTGTATATCCAAAGTAAAATGATAATGATATTTATTGTATATTCAAATGTTTTCTATTTAGTGGTGCCTGTAAACAATTACCTGGTTTGAATTTAGCAAGTGGTGACTTAAATGATGATGAATTCAGTTTTTTACTTAATTATCTTATGGAAACTGCTTATGCTGCAAAAGAAGTTTACAATGTAAGTTCAAAAAATCAGAGCTCAGTAGTGACTTACGATGCTTTATGATGTTATGAAATTGAAATGATAATAAATAAAGATTTGTATGAAGCCAAGAAACCATCAATATGAGTAGTAATTGATATCAACAATAAGGAAAAAATGAAAAAATTTCAATGGTTGCTTATGTCATCATAAAAACTATGCAATAGAGTTGAAATAAATAATCATTAGATTTTACGTATCTTTTGGAAATTGAAGTTCGATAGCAAGAAGAAATCTACTCAAGTTACTGTCTGTTTGTAAAATAAGAGCATTCAATTAAATCATATTGAATTTAACAAGTTAACGAGGAAAGTCCCGCAAATGATTAATTGATTTGAGTTTGGATTCTGTGCATTATGTAGACTCTAATGAGCTATGAATATACTAAAACGATTTCGGACCCTTAGCTTATTGCTACGGAGAAACTGCAGTAATACGGTAATTTCCTTCAGGAATATTAGGGAAAACTTTTCGTAAGACAAAAACTGAACTTCTGAGTTTATTGTTTTTTAGAGGAAGATTCGAATTTCGAAAGATAAAAATGTTTTGTTAATATCAAAATGTATCTTTCGACATTTTGTTTTTTTTTGATGAAAAAATATATTAACTTGAATATGTTTTTTGTTTCAAAGACTGCAACACCACTTGAATTTGAAAAATTGAAAGCAGTTCTTGCCCGAAATAAATTTACTATGGTTGTTGATGGTTTAAATATACTCTATGGTATTGATCGATTTGCTACTGATCCTGTTAATACAATGATTAAAGTAAAAAAGAAATTCATTCTATAATGAATAATATTATTTATTTTTCTTAAGACAATAAATTTTCTTAAAAATTTACGTGTATCTCGAACACAAATGTTATTTATTGCACGTAAACATGTTTTATCTCGTATACCATATGATATTCAAAAAGATTTACGTTCAATATGTGAAGTTTTTCTAGTTGATAATACGTAAATATTATTAATTTCAATTTTAAATAAAAAAAAAAAAAAACTATTGTTTTTAATTTAATACATAGTTCTCGTGATGATTGGTTTGTTTTATATGCTGCATTATATTCCAAAGCTTATGTTTTAACATCTGATATATTAAGAAAAGAACGTGGAATATCAAATAAATCTACACCAGCAAAAAATACTGAAGTTAATGATAAATTACAAAAATGGCTTTATCGTTATCAATATTTATTTGTTCGACAAGGAAAGAAAGTTTATTTTAAAGTAAATATACATTTTCATGTTAATATGATTATTTTAGTTATTCTTATTTTTAGCAACCAATGGCATATAAATTAAGAGCACAATATATACAAAATGTATGGTTAATTCCATATTTTAATGAAAAACCACTTACATTAGCTCAACGACCTGATAATTGGTTTTTTGTTTATAAAATTTCGGATAATAAATAAGCAGCATTGTTGCCATCAAAAAAAAAATAACGTATGAAAGAAACAGTTATTATTAAAGAAGAGGAAAAAATCTATATAAGATTTTGTGTTTGTTGTTTTGAATAACAAATAAATTGTTAGGAAAAAAAAATTTCAATGGAAATTCAGTTAGATTAAAATATAAAACACGATATGATTTGTCATCAAAAAGAAAGTGTTGAATAGCATTAACAATAAGGCTTACGAGAGAGATTCTCCGACTGATTAATCGCTTTAGAGTTCGAATTATGTACATCATGGAGATCCCAGTAAGCTATGAATACCCGAATAAGAATTGAGATTCTTTGTTTATTGCTGCTAAGATATTGCATCTTTACGGCTTTTTCTTAAGTTAATATCATGGTCCTCTTCAGAAATATTAGGAAAATTTGTTTTTGAATTTCAACTGGAAACTTTGCATAGAGACAGATCTTAATGAGAATAATTTATTTTCACAATACACTATTTTCAATGAGCGCAGTCTCTATGGAGAGTTTCAAGTCGAAATTTGAAAAAGAATTTTCTTAGTGTTTCTGAGGAAGACCACGATATTAACTTTAAGAAACCATAAAAATACAGTATCTTGACAGCAATAAACTAAGGATCCAAACTCTTTTCACTATATGCATAGCTCGTTAGGATTTACGTAAACCACATAGTCTCGACTCAAAAACGATTAATTAGTTGAGAGACTTCCTTTATTAGATTGTTCTTGCAGATTCCAAAGCCTTTCTTCGAAATTTAAATGGCTGGACTATGTTTTTGAATGATTTCAATGGCACAGTTACAAATTTTTGCGCAGATTAACGATTCAAGGATGATGATTAGGAATGTATTGATTTAGCACAGTCGTCATGTAATCAACATACAAAGCATGAAGCGATCAAGTTCTAACTTTCAGAAATAATTGAAATATGTAATAGCGCGTTTAAATCTATTTTGTAGACATAATAAATATGTACAATAGATTTATTTGTCGATTAAATAAATGATTTGAATAATGATAATAATAGCAACAAGATAAATTAAAAATAGTCTACTACCAAAAACAAAAATTCTGTTCGAAATACAGAAATAAATCAAACATAACGATTATCCTTGAAAGATAATTATCATCTATTAGTAAAATTTTTCACTTGACATATTTTGTATTAGTATAATGAAACAACCGCAGACATGTCTATTGCATATTTTAGTTGCAAAGAAGCTGTGCTGATAAGCTTTTCCTATTACTAAAAATGCATATCGTTCGCGTTATATGCTTATTTTACGAACACTGTACGTAAATGATCATCATCATAAGATTCAAAAATTCATGAAGAAATGTTAATGTGGCATGTAAACAAGCTCCATTGATTTTTGAAAAAACAAAACTATACAGAAGCCAAAATCTCCACTCTTCAACAATGAATTTTATTATACATAATGAATACATTTACAAACAATCGTATTATTAACATATACATAAATGAATATAATAACAATTTTGACTATATCTTTTCAATCCATATGTTTTATAAAGAAATCGATTTTTGTATTAAGAAATATATTATATTATTTTTCTGAATTAATTTTTGTTCTTATTTGATATCAGATAAATCATTTAATAGTCAAGGTCGTCCTAAGAATAATTTATTGCAAATTTAATGCAAATATTCACTTTTATTATAAGCGAAAGAAAAAAAAGTATTAAATATGTGTTTTTTTCCCATTCTTTTTTATATTAAATATCGGTCAATAAGAGAAAAAAATAGTATCGTATCAGGTGACATAAACCACACATTCGAAGAGATTGATTAATGTTCTGTTACAATGATATAACATACATAATTTAACCAAATTCTAACTCAATAATCAAATGATTGGTGTCTTTTTTTCTTATTAGTAAGTTCATATAGAATCAATATAAATATATATAAATAATAGAGAAGCCTATCATCTATATAATAAGGGTTCATTTGACCTTGTCAGCTATTCTATTTTTCGAGAGAAAAAAAAAAAGTCATTCTGATTGTTGTTATATGCATAATAAGTAGAGCAAGAAGGACGTAATAACTATCACATTCATTCACTTTCTACTACTACTAACGTCAACACCCTAAAAAGAAAAAAAACTTTTTTTTTTTTGGATCTTCTCTTTTCTGTTCGATTTCGTGTTTTTTTATAACTTGTATTTACATGTCATAAAACTTTTCATATTATTTTTCTTTCATATAATATGCAATTTTTGACATAAAAATTATTATTAATTAATATATATATATATATATATATTGGTGAATTTGATTGTTAATTAAACAAATAAAGAAAAACTACATATATCTTTTGATAACAACTGTCGCGTCTCGTCATGTCCTTCTTCAACCATATATAAGCCTTGAAATGAGTTGACGAAGAAAAAAAAACCGTATGTAAAGTATTTTTGTCACATTTATATATATACAACTCTTTATATTGATTATATAGGTGTATAAAGAAAAACTAATGGATAGTTGGTGGAATTTCTTTTATATTTTTCTTTTACTTTTTTCATATATACTATTATGTCATAGTCAAGTTAATATACCTCTTACAGAACCAAAATTAATAGCAGTTACACCTATAAATTCAACAGCTTTAACTGTTAGATGGGAATTTGCAAATTCAACATATGATCAATCAGATTTTATACAAATTGTTATTCAATTTTATGAATTTTATTATAATTATGGTCCAATAAATACTTCAATTAGTTATACATTTACATCAACAAATAAAACTATAACAAATCTAACAAAAAATTTTGAATTTGTCAATGCTTTTTATTATGTATGTCTTTTAACAAATTCTACAAATATAAATGTAACTATGCCTCTTATTACAAGAACTTGTCAACTTAAAAGAACATGTTTACGATTGAATTCATCGATATGTTCAGAAGTACCTTTTGTAATTATTTCAAATACATATAAATCATCAAATTTATTTATTATAAATGTTAATTGGCTTAAGAATTTACCATATTCACGAAATACAACTACTGTACAATTAATTAATAATGGTGTTATAGGAACAACATTATCTTCAACAGAAAATGATACATACATAAGTCAACCATATCAATTTTCTAGTTTACAATTGAATACAAATTATACAGTTAATATAACTGTAAGTTATACAATATTTAATCGTATTCTAAGTGATATGATTTATTATAATATTCAAACGTCTCGTTCATCGAACTTATTTTATACCAGTGATAGTTTTATTTTTATGATTTGTTCGGTGTTTTTATTTTTTTCATTTTCTTAATAATATTCTATCTGATAAATCAAAATCACTTCTCTAAAATGATCGTATTCAAATTATTCATTTTATTTTTCTTTTCAGTATACATAAGATTGATTATATTCAATTAATCGTTTTTTCTGATATAGTATTTTTCGAATAGATTTAAAGAGAGTAATAACAAACATTCGTTTTCAAAAGAAATTGAGATAAAAAAATTCAAAATTTTTCATATTTTCATTTATTTTTCCTTGTTGATTTCAACAAATATAAATATTTTTTTTTCTGTGTTATTTAAGCATAATAATCTCTTTTATATTCACTTTATTCTAAACTTATGTATCTAAGCATTTTACTTTTCATGAAAAATAGCTGTAGTTATGAAATGAACAAAAATATTAATCAAATTAGTATCACAATTATATAATGATAGTTGTTACTAAACTAATGTATATGAATGAGTCTAAGAAACCAAAAAAAAAAACATTTATTTTGATAATTTTGACTTACATTTGAGTTCTAGATGGATTTAAGTTTTTGAACCTACATTTAACTCGATGTCTTCAAATTAAATTTGAATTCGAAAATGTTATTTGTTTACTTATGTTAGATTAGTTCTTTTCTTCGAATATGTTTGATAAAAATTTGAAATTCTTGTTACATAAAAATGGTGTTGAACCAATTTTATTAGTTCTAAAAATGATTTCAGAATTTATTATTCTTGCATATTGTATCAGTACATCTTTCGAAACTTAAGTAGATTGTTGAATCAATATAATAATATTCAATTGTAAGACATTAGATGTTATGCTTCAAGTTTATTAATAAACTATAATAACATTATTGTATTGGTTTATAAGTTTTCAAAAAATATTAACAACGAACGCACGATTTAAAAGTGATAGAACAAATGTATAATTGGTTTAGCCGTCATGACTTAGCTGTTCGACACGTATCTACAAGGTACGGTATTGAAGTCTGAGTACTATCAGTCATGAAATGGCCCTGGACAAATCACTAACAGCTATTTGTCTCAAATCATTCATCCGGTAACATGATGACTACGTTGTGACATATACCTTCTCTTGGAATTGGTTAATATGTATGGGAAGTTCAAGCAATGGAGTGCAAGAACTCTGCATCAGACTGACCAGAGGCACAATTAGTATTAGTCATAGGAAAGATTTCTGGCTACTGAATCTGTCATTAGAGAGCACACCATATCGTACGGTATTCGAAAGACAGAAGTGTTCTTCCTTTGAATAAAGCATGTTAGAATGAAAGCCATTTTCTATGTTCATCGTAGAACTTGTTTACGAGAAAAGCAATCAATTCGGTACTTTTCCTACTGACTTCTCTTGCAAATATAATTAATTATCATTTTTGAAAACTTTAATGAAATAAAAGAATATGGTTGTTAGCTCGTTTCGTCGAGCGATCGATATATATTTACTTCACCAGAAAAAACATCTTATATATATAAAAATGTCCTTGAAGTGCATAGTATAACAGAGAAAAGAAAAGAAAAGAAATAGTTGTACAACAAAGAGAAGAGAGAGAACGAAAACATCGAGGGGTAGAACAGGTATCACCGTTAACAATGGTTATTATGATTTCTTAGTATTATCTAAAGTGATGTCAATTGGAATTTTAAAGTTATTTTGAAGTATATGAATACAACGATAATATCTATGCAATTGTATTAATAAATCATATGAACCAATAGCTCTGTGAATAAGTACACTCAAGACTAGTTGATTATACTAGAAAAAATAAACATAACACTTATCAAAGTTGAACTCGAATTCATCCCCAGGCCAGATGCTTCAATATTATTAAAACAATGATGAATGAAAGAATATTGCCAATGGGTGATTTTCTAATCTTTAATAACGATGAAAGGCTTATAAATGATTGTCACAAAATCATTACCTCGACGCATCTTTCCCTATAGTCACACCTTTCACAGTTGATGCAAATTTTTCTCATAATATGACATTCAATTTTGATGATATAATTAAAAAAAACTGCATGCCCTAGTTGGCTAAACACAAGGTTAATAAAACATGATATCATCATTTTATATTAGCTAATTAAACTGATATCCGGACATTTGCTCAGTAGAAAATTCTCAAAAAAAAACAAACTACAAATTGATTTCAATCACGAATGCAACTACTTTCACATCACTACATTAAACCTGTACAGTTTAGGAGTACAAAATATTACGATAACACTCGATTTCAAAAAGTTTTATTACACTGAAACAATCGAAAAAAGTTCAATTTCTTAGAAACTTTTGTATTATTTCGAAAAGAAGAGTTCATTCCATGTAGTTGATATTTGAGTTTTGAAGGCGAAAAGAAATCATATAGGTTCAGATTTGGCAAATATGCTAGATTTTATAAAAAATTCGTTCATATTCCAGGCTTTCTGTAGTGTTGAATCTTCATGACGGAGACTTAGATCTTAAAGAATGATCTTTTATTTCTTTGCTGATACAATTTGAAAACATGCGATAGGCAGCTTTTGATAGGTTAATGGCATGGATTTGGTCAAACTAGATTTCATGAAAACAATTAGTACGTTTCATTTGTTTGACTTCTTTATTGTGGTGAGCTTTGATTGTTATGCATTAGTTTGTAACGCTCTTACTTTTGAATATTCTATTATATTTTTATCATTATGATAAAACTATAATCTATCACTAGTAACTATGCAGAAGACAAGATAGATATTAGTCTCCAAAATCTATTCAGTCACTGATCACTCAATTGAATATAAAACTGCTTTCAATCATCAATGAGCTGACAATGCCATTCATCAAGTACAACACTTTGTAGAACTTTAAACAAACAAGTATAATCAAAATAACTATAATGTTCACAGTATCTTCTATTCATTCGTATGTTCAATTATTGCTAGAACAACATTCAAAATTTCTCTAGTTATATCAATCGAAGAATATTGATTCACTAGTCGGAAAGAAATGCAAAAAATATAACAAAGCTTGAGGCTTCTAAGTCTGAAATTATTAAAACTTATAGAAAAGCGCAGCGAAAAAATGTTTGACGCACCTTATATACATCTCCAAATAATCATTATCGGCTATTAATTACGAGAAAAATAACTACATGATAACTTAGTCATGCTTATTTCAAAAATAATACCTAAAAGCAAGAAATGAAATTCAGCAAATTGATATTAGTTTAATTAGAAAAAAAATGACCTAAGAGTATTAATTATTAATGTTTTATTAACATCTACTAATACTAATTTAAGCCACAAATGAATATCGGCAATAGATTTTAGCTAAGTAACGAAGATAACTCGATTTTTTTTGCTTTCAATACTTCTAATTTCGTCTTAATTCTATTCCCTTGAAGATTAAATTTAGTACACATGGTTCATGATTTATCGCGATAAACAAATATATAAGGTCACTTTGAGTTAAACGAACATCATATTTTGTGAAACACAATCTAAAAACAATGTTAAACTTGGATTTCTTCCCCATGAACCGTAACGGAAGCTAGTACATAAAATAAAATAATCACCCTGTGATTAATAACAGCAACTATATCGTATTTCATATTTTAATTCTGCAAGGATTGCACTAACAGCTATTCTATTTTTTAAATAGATTTTATTTTATTTAAAGTATAGGTTGTTGTTTTTTTCTACATGTTTGCAAAATCTTTAACGTTTTATTATTTGACGATCAGGAATTGTTTTAAGTTCATAATTAAGTGTTGATCCATTTAAAGTTGATTGCATGAAACGAGTTGAATTCCAATCATAATCTTGTTTTATATGTAAAATAAAAAGTATTTTTCTAAAATAATATTCAATTGAATAACGAAATATTTTACGAAAAAATCCACTTGTTAATGTATAAACATAAAATGATTTTGAACAATTACCATATAATAAAAAAATACTTATTTGTAATAATAAACCATCTATTGATCGTTGATAACTTGATTTAGGTAAATCTGTTGATAAAACAAAATATCCATATAATGCAATACGTATTAAATCAAGACAACATGATAATATTGCTTGTGAAAGCATCATCTATAATAGAAATAAAAGCAAAAATTCTATATTATATTTATATTAATTGACTTACAACAATAAGTTGTGAATCTGTTCTTTGTGCATGTCGTTGTTGTTTTGATATCTTTGTTGTTGTTGTTGGACCTACACGTTGTTTTGTTTTTATTACATTTCGAATTGTTAACCAACTAAATAATAATATAAATCCATTTGGTAAAATACCAGTCCAAATAAATAAATAAACACTATAAACAACTGAATAAATTCCTGGTTGTGCTGTACATGCTGGAAAAAAATTATAGAAAACTAACATATGACTTGTTAATATCATTGAAATGATAATCACTATTGGTACAATACGATGAGCAACTTTTAATTGACTAAATGATCGATAACGAACTTGATTTGTTGTTGACATAAAACGATCAATTGTTGTTAATAAAATCATATAAGTAACTAAAGCAGGTAATGCAACAACTAAATATGAACGAATTTTACAATATGCCACATTAGTAAGAAAAAGTGTACTTCCTAAACGATCACTAGCTAAACGTGATATAAGACCAAAATAAAAAGCTATTAATTCAGTAATAGCCGTACATAAAAAATAAAATGCACATGAACTTGTTTTTAATTGTTTTGATGTAAATGTTATAAAATTACATAAAGATCCATATGAACCAAAAATAAGTAAAATTATTGGTGTATATAATGACATTTCTCTTGCAATTTTTTGAATAAGAATTTCATTAGAACTCATGATGATATATTCAATGTAAAAAATAATAATAAATACTGCTTATCTTAAAAAAAAACAAAAAGAAAATAGAAATTAAATTTATTAAATATGTATCTATCAGCCTATTCTACATTGTTGTAATAACAAAATATGTGATTTCACTATACAATCTTCAACAGATGAGAAAATGATTACGAAAGAGAATAATAGAGAAAAAAAAATAAGAAAAACAAAATGAATATATCAATGACAATAATATTGATCTCATTTGAAAATATTACTTTATTTTGAAATAAAGAAATCGAAGGCATGATTAAGTTTATATTTAGTTATAGATCAATCGGACTAGGTTTTTTTTCTCGATGATAGAGGACTCATCAAGGTTTTTTGCTTGCAAGGAAATTTTCGATGGCTAGACATATGGAAGTTTTAGTGTATTTACTACTTTAGAAATATAGGCCAATGAGATCAGTTCAGTCTCATTCGCTTGTGCTGAAAAGGAGTTATTATATATGATAGCACTTCTCATTGTGAGTTCTATAACTGAAAAAGAATGATCAATCTATCATTATATAAAATATCCGCAGCTTTTGCATGTTAAAATGAAACTCAATGAAATTTTCATTGAAAATAGTCGTTTTAAAGGACTATATAATGAGAGATTCACTGAGTCATAAACTTCTTCTCTTGTTGAATTATAGGATATTTCTGTGATAGTATTTACTCTAAAAATTTCGCATATGTAGTTCTAAGTATGGCTGAGATACTTTTTCGTTAATAGTGTATATTTTTATAGAGGCTAACAACGTTAGTTTCGAACAGTATCTATATGATAGTTTCCTTATGCATTAAAAAATTTTCTATAACCGAGGAAAAAAACTGGCTTCATTAATTAAAGCCATTGAATATTTTTATTATCTAGTTATTTATGAGCTATCCTCTAGATTACTTACTTACAAATGTTTGCTCATAAAATAAAGTTTTCTTTTATACTACAAACTTTTCTCGGAGAATTTAAAAGAAAAGCGAAATCTACATATCGCATGAAATAATCTCGTCTAACAATATATATAGAAAGAAATATGATATCATAATTAATACTATCGAATCAGAAAAAAGATTATGAATATGTAATACATCAAAAAAACATATTTCGAATATATCTTATAGACAGATAATATGACAACCAACTTTATTTGAAATCTGATAGATGAACATGATTATTAATAATATTGAAAATATACTTTACACAAAAGTTCATAAAAAATTTAGGTAAATTTGTAATTAATTATATCTCATTAGCAAATGAAACTACGTATTTTAACTACACTTCCTATATCTACTTGAACAAATGTATATGAACTTTTTATGAGTTAAGAAAAAAATTTTCATTTGCAAGATAATTTGTGTATTAAAAGACAATTTTCGATTTATTTTATTTTTCAATAGAATACTTTTTTTTAAGGAGAATAGTGACATGCTTAAATGAGAATAATTCAATTAATCATTTGAGTATTTTTAATAAATATAAACCTATGAATTAATATATGTTAGAAATACGAATCATGCATAAAACATGTTTCTATGTCAAATTTCAATATTTTTTCTTAGTTTTCTTTTTCACTCTAAAAATACCGATAGTATGAGTATAAGTTTTCAAAGTATATAATAGAATATTACAAAGATTATCAAACCTTGAAAACATCTGATAGGTAGAAATGTTAATTTTTAATTTCAAACTTTCTCAGTCTATTACGGTATAAAATACTTTTTTTTTTTATTAAAGTCAGTAAATGATATAGGTGTATTATTAATTTTCAACAAAAATATAATTTGAAAAAAAAAGAACAAAGATTTCTTGTTATATATTTAAATGATTGAAATTTAATCTTAAAAGATAATCTTCAATAGATAGATGTTATTGTTGAAATAAATCGTACAG